ATCCTTGGGTTACAACACATCCCTCCTTGTTCCATGGATTGCTCTCATTCATTCATCCATTCATTCGCTTAACATATAATGAACGTAAATGAAGCCACCACTACACCCAAAAGTAAAGCTTTAACAAGAAAATATCTGCCTATGTATTCATTCTCCCATATTGTTCCCCTGTGTTCCCTGCTTTCCCTTGTACTCCAGGGGTAACCAACATCCTGATCTTTGCTTTTGAACTTTATAAATAGGTTATCATAGTATGTCACTAAGATATACTCATGTTGTTTACATCTGTAGTTTCTTTCATATTTGAAAATATTTAGCTTTAGTTTGCTGTCCCTGCTCATTAAATAATACTTAATTTTGATAAAACAATTTTAAGAAAGCTAATATAATTAATGATACAGGTCAGCCTTCACACTTTAAATTGAAGAGAGAGGGGCTTCCCTGGTGGCGCAGTGGTTGAGAGTCCTCCTGCCGATGCAGGGGACACGGGTTCGTGCCCCGGTCCGGGAGGATCCCACATGCCGCGGAGCAGCTGGGCCCGTGAGCCATGGCCGCTGAGCCTGCGCGTCCGGAGGCTGTGCTCCGCAGCGGGAGGGGCCACAACAGTGAGAGGCCCGTGTACCGCAAAAAAAAAAAAAAAAAAAAAAATTGAAGAGAGATGTGCATGGAGTCTAAGATATTAAATAAGATTCAAATAAAGTCTTTAAATTACCATGACAAATAAGTTAATCATTAACATCTTGGTCACACTAGGCTAAAATGATTCAGACTTCATATTTTTAGTCATCAGTCATCAGTGAAACATGTCAAATTCATTTCATTCACTACAGATAGATATGTTATTATCCTATGCCTAAATATATTTAAATTTTAGCTAAGCTGTCAGTGATATCTGGAAAGACACTTAAATAAATTAAAGTACAATTTTTTTAGTTTCACACTAATTATGATGTATTGTTAAAATTTCTCTGTGACCAGAGGTATATAGAAGATTCAAATGTTTAATCTGTGAAATTACTCAGGATAAATTAGCTAGTTACATTTTAAATTGAAAAGCAAATAAAGAATTTCAGATAAATAAAAAACATATTTTTAAAAACTGCTTTAAATATTTTTTCATTTTTATCTGTTTGGTTGTATTTTTACCTTAATTCACTTTCACTATAAATGTCTTTAGTCTTCTATTACCCCCATTCATCCTTTGAAACTACCACTCTGTTCAACATCTGCAGCATTCAGTGTGAACACAGTTTATCCTCTACCCTCATCTTCTGTCAATCACTCCTACAAACTTTTCACTCCAGAGCTGCACTGTCAAATATAGTAGCCACTAATGGCTGCTTAGATTTTTTTAAATTAAATTAAATTAAAAATTTAGTTCTTTCATTGTAGTAGCCACCTTTCAGGTGTTTTATACTGGTACCTACAGTATTGGACAATGCAAGTGTGGAACATTTCCACTGTTGCAGTGCCCTAGAGTTTGGATCTAGAATTTCTATGTAGGAAGAATTTGTGGTTGGTAGTATGATTGAAATAGGGGGTTAGGGATTTGTCCTGAAGCTGCACTGGATGCCATTTTGTACATAGATTGTATGCTTGTACATTTGTATATGGGAGAGGGGCTGATGGAAATTAAGTGGGGGTAGAATAAGTCTCACAAAGCCAAGCTACTCTTTTATGCAACTATTGTTCTAATCACATCAAAGTCTTTTCCTTAAAAAGAATTTGCACTTAATTACCTCAAGGCTTTTTTTCACCTTGTGGTTATCTGTTAACTATTGCTCGCCCCACAAAAACTACTCACCACAACAACTCACCCTCCAATGGCCAGCCTCAAATGCCCCTTCCTTTGGGAAGTTCCCATAGCACCCCTTTCCGAGGCTCCCAGACAATATAATGTAAATCCCTATTATAATATAAATCACACCCTTGCCTTGATTATGTTTCGTTGTATGTCTGTGATTCCTCCATTAGACTCTGATCATGTCAAGATCAGGGACTTTGCCTTCTTGTTTTCTAAATATTTCCCCAGGGCCTAGTATAATGCCTTACCCACTGCAGGAGCTGAGTAACTGTTAAATTACTTTTATTTATTTATTATTATTATTAATTAATTAATTTATTTATTTCGCGGTACGTGGGCCTCTCACTGTTGTGGCCTCTCCTGTTGCGGAGCACAGGCTCCGGACGCGCAGGCCCAGCGGCCATGGCTCACGGGCCCAGCCGCTCCGCGCATGCGGGATCTTCCCAGACCGGGGCACGAACCCCCGTCCCCTGCATCGGCAGGCGGACTCCCAACCACTGCGCCACCAGGGAAGCCCTAAATTAACTTTTAAATAGCTTAGATTCTAAAAGACATTCTGACTCTCAATCTGCTCCAAGCACAGTCCTCCCCATCCCAGTTAGTGGTAACTTCATCCTTCTAGTTACACAGGTCAAAAACTTTGGAGCCATCCTTGCTTTCTTGACTCCTCTCTTTTTCTTGTACCATTTTTCATCACTTCCACTGTTATTACCCAGTTCTTATTACCATCTCTCCTTGGGATTTTTGCAGTTGTCTTATACTTGGTTACCCTACTTTCACTTTTGCATCTCTACATTATTTTCAACCCAGCAGCTAGAGTGATTCTTTCATTTTACATATACTAAAAAATTATGTGGGGGCTTCCCTGGTGGTGCAGTGGTTGAGAGTCTGCCTTCTGATGCAGGGGACACGGGTTCGTGCCCCGGTCCGGGAAAATCCCACATGCCGCGGAGCGGCTGGGCCCGTGAGCCATGGCTGCTGAGTCTGAGTGTCCGGAGCCTGTGCTCCACAACAGGAGAGGCCACAACAGTGAGAGGCCCGCATACCGCAAAAGGAAAAAAAAAAATTATGTGGAGCTTAGTATGTACCAGTTACTATTCTAGGCACTTTACAAATGTTAACTTATTTATCCCTCATAATGACCCTCTGAAATAGAAACTATTATCCTTGTTTTACAGATGAGGAAAATGAGGTACAGAAAGATTAATTTGTCAAAGGTTGCCTAGCGCATAGAACATAAATCATATAATATCACTTCTCTTTTTAAAACACTCCCATCTCAGAGTACATGCCAAAGTCTTTCCAAAGGCCAAAGGCCTAAAAGGTTATATGTGGTCTGCATCTCACCCCTGCTTCTCTACTTTATTTTCTTCCATAGCAATTTATTTATTTATTTTGTCTATCTCTCCCCAAACAAATTAAGCTCTACCACAACAGGTAGGGATTTTTGTCCACTTCCCCACTACAGATTTTTTTCTCAGTGCCCAGAACAATGCCTTGCATAATAGGCCCTCTTTAAATAATTGTTGCTCAAATGAATGTACCTCTTCTCATTTACACTAAATGAAAACTTTTTAAAAAAGAAAGTAAAAACAAGAATTTCAGAATTCCTGAATTTTAGAATTATATAAATTCCACATTTTTATGTGTTATAATCCTTAGGGCTTACTATCCTATGAGTGTTTATAAAATCAAACAGTATCAAAAAAGTAATAAGTTGTATAAAATTAAAACTTATGGGTATATACAAAACTCCATTTAATTATGGGTAAATTACTTAGAGCAAGAATGAAAACAAAAAGCAGCACTCTTTAGCTATTTAAATGTGACAGATTTTTAAAAATCATAAGTGAGAGAAGAGCCTAAAAAGAGTGTAGGTTTTGGTCAGTTTCATAGTTTGGATGGAGACAATCTTAAATGGATTCTGCCTGCTACTCTAAATGCCCAAGAACAGAGCTCTGACTTTTGGGCAGAGTTGTAGCAAATCAGCAACTGTGGTGTGTTAGATTCCAAGATGATTGTTCCCTTGTGGAATACCTGAAAAACAATTCAGTGAGGGCAGCACCTATATTTTTTTTTAGAAAGAATTTTTAATATTTATTTATTTATTTGGTTGTGCTGGGTCTTAGTTGCAGCAGGCAGACTCCTTAGTTGCAGCATGCGAACTCTTAGTTGTGGCATGCATGTGGGATCTAGTTCCCTGACGAAGGATCAAACCCGGGCGCCCTGTATTGGGAGCGTGGAGTCCTATCCATGGCACGACCAGGGAAGTCCCAGCACCTATAATATTTTTAAGATCAAGCAAAGAATGTGGAAAAGACCGATGGATATCCATCAAGAATAATTTAAATAAATAATCGAATATAATTTTAAACTATGGTAGTGGTCAGTTTCAAGAGCTGCCTGCTATTTCACATTATTGTGTTCTTTTTTCAACTTCATTTTCGGAAATTATGTACGTGCTTCTGAGGTTCATCTGCTTCAATTTTCTTTTACATTAAACTGCTCAAACACCACTGCATTGGGCTTTCCTTTGGATGAAAGAAAGTTATTCTTCGGTATACTTAACACTTAAAAAAATGAATTATTCCATATTCACAAGAGCCATCTATCTAAATTGTAAACACGCTTATTTCTGGATTCCAGTCTCATAGATCTTCATTCTCCAGGTTTGGGAGTGGAGCCCAGGATCCTACGTTTCAGACCTTTCTTTAAGAACTACTCGACTCAATGCTATTTTCATATTTTGCTGCTTTCAAAATATTAATTTTAGGCATCTAAAGAGGGGAGGGCAAACTCTGGTGGCTGTCAGAAGGAACAAGAATGAGCGGCCCACGTTGTACCATGTTGCAAAACTTTTCCTCAGTTTGTAGATCCTCCGTCCCTGGGGAGGAAATCAGTTCATTTTCACCAAGTAATTCACCATTTTTCAACCATTTCCGTCCACGTCCCTCAGGATGAACCCCAAAAGTCATGAACTCATCTCCGCGGCATAAGATAAAGCCCTGTTCGTCCCGCTTGCCCTCACAGGGCCGCGGGGACCGGTTCGCTTCCCGCCAGCCGGGCTCCTCCTCCGCTCGCCTTTTGGGTCTAGTCCTCCCGGAGGCGTTCGCCGAGGCAGGTCTTGGCGCCAACCGGGTGGCGGCGCTGTCTGCCCCGCGCGCCACCGCCTCAGGCCCGAGGGAGGCGGAGGCACGGCCTGCGGAGGAAGGGGCGGGAGCGAGGCGCGCGCCCTTCTCTCGCGTGCTCCCGCACCGCTCGCGTGACCGACCGGTGGGTGCGAGAAGCGCCGGCTGCCCGGAGCACGGACTGCCGGGCGCGCGCCGCTGCGAGGGGCGTCCGGGTCCGGGTTGGCGGACCCGGCCGGCGCGAGGTGCCGGCTGGCGGGCCCGGGGTTCCGGGGCGAACACACGAGCACACGCTCCCGGAGGAGCCTTTTCCGAGGCTGCTCTTCCTCGGCCAGACGGAGAGCGGCAGTGTCTCCCCGCCCAGCGCTCACTCGCCCCGCGTCTCCCCCCGCGGCGACTGCTCCTCCTCGGCACCGCCAGCCCCAGCGCCGCTCCGGGGCGGGCGGCGGCGGCGGCGGCGGGACCGGCGGAGCCGCTTTGTGTGCAGCCCGGAGAGGGGCGGCGGCGCAACCACCTGACAGAGGCCCGGGCGCTCGATGCACCTTCCGCCCGCATGAGGAGGAGGTAAAGGCGGCGGCGGCTCGGCTCCCGCCCTCGGCTGGTGGAGGGAGGGGACGGAAGGGGAGACCGGAGCGGGTGGGGGGTGGGGGCGCGGGACCGAGGCCCGGCGGGGCTGCCCGGAGGTGCCGGTAAGGCCTCGGCGGCGCCGAGTGGCCGGGGGCGAGAGAAGCCGCCGGGGAGCCTCAGCCGAAGTTGAAGGAACAAAATGTGAAGTGCGGAGCCGCGTCAGCCGCTTCCTGGCTTGGGGTTCGGGGTGGAGGGCGGCTTGTTTTCCCCTCCCGCGGGGGTGGGGGAGCGGGACACGGGAGGGGCGGGAGCGTGGCGGGGACGCCTGGGGTTCAGCAGCTCTGCCCGGCAAGGGCGTTCGTCCCCGGGAGACGCCGCTGCGTGTGGGTCCGGTTGGGTCCCTAGTTTTGCGGCCTAAGCCGAGCCCTATAGGCCTCGCGTCTCCTTTCCCGGAGGGGACCGGCCGGGCGGGGACTCGAGGCTTCTCTCTGACCGAGCGGGGGCTTTAGGGGTTTTGCCGGGCTCTCGAAGCCGCCAAACTTCGGACTTCGGTGTTTGGGGGTGGATTTCATTGTGAAAGGAGGACTGGGAAACTCCTGGCGCTGCCCGGGGCTTCCCGCGGCCGCCGGTGCCAGAGAGCCCAGTGGGCCCGGTGTTGGAGGGGCCCGCGTGGGTGGGCGCGGCGCGGCGGCCGCCAGGATCCAAGCCCCGGGAAGGAGCGGGTGGCGGGGCCGCCGCGAGTCCCCGGCCTCCCGGGAGAAAGGGCCCTTTGCAGATTAGAGATTTTTGAAATGAAAAAAGAGGTTACAAAGTCGTCCCTTTCCCGCTGAACTTTTGTTTTCTGACCGATAGAGGCCGGTAGAGGACTGTGAAAGAAAAGTTGTCCCCCAGGATGGACTTCTCGACCGCGCAGCCCAAGCCTGCCCCTGCCCTCTGTGGCGTTGTGAGTGCCGACGGGAAGATCGCTTACCCTCCGGGGGTAAAGGAGATCACCGACAAGATCACCACCGACGAAATGATCAAACGACTGAAGGTAAGCTCCTCTGGACCGAATGTTCACATTTCAGACGTTTGTGGTAGGAGGTGCTCTCTCCTGTGGTATTACAGCTCTGCTGGGCCTGGCCTTTAAGAGTTTCACTGACCAGGGCTTTTTTTTTTTTTTTTTAGATATTTTACGTTTTCTCTTTTACCGCCTCTGAAAGGTATTGTTCTATCTTGGCTATATCTTTGAATGGTGATTTCTGTTAGGGGCATAACCATTATGGGAAATTAGAAGGGTGTGTGTGATCTTTTTTAATCTTACTTTTTTTTTAAAGTGTAAGAATTCGAGTATTTTTTTAAGTTTTTTTTTTTTTTCCTAGAAATATTTACGAGAATACTATTCAGAGTAGCTTGCAGCCTTAAAGGTAGGCAGTAATTTGCTTAGGAAGGTTTTCATCAACTTCTGAGGAGACTGATTTATCAAAGCACAAAAGGCATTTTAAAAATTATCACAATTTTCTGGGGCTTCCCTGGTGGCGCAGTGGTTGAGAGTCTGCCTGCTAATGCAGGGGACACGGGTTCGAGCCCTGGTCTGGGAGGATCCCACATGCCACGGAGCAACTAGGCCCGTGAGCCACAACTACTGAGCCTGCGTGTCTGGAGCCTGTGCTCCGCAGCAAGAGAGGCCGCGATAAGTGAGAGGCCCGCGCACCGCGATGAAGAGTAGCCCCCGCTTGCCACAACTAGAGAAAGCCCTCGCACAGAAATGAAGACCCAGCACAGCCAAAATAAATAAATTAATTTAAAAAAAAAGAAAAAAAAATTATCACAATTTTCTAACATCCAGAAGCTTAAATATGTATATAGTATGGTTAAACTTTGACAGAAGGTACTGACTTTTCAAACTTCAGGCTTGAAGTAAGGTGATGATTTATGCCCACATGTTCAGAGGGGTTTGTATGTGTTTGTTTGTTTAAATATTTATTTATTTGGCTGTGCTGGGTCTTAAGTTGCGGCATGCGGGGATCTAGTTTCCTGACCAGGGATCAAACCTGCGCCCCTTGCATTGGGAGCACAGAGTCTTAACCACGACCACCAGGGAAGTCCCCAGAGGGGTTTTAAGAGAGAGTGATTATGGCTCTTTTTATGAGTCAGTGTATTTTTAAGCATGGTGGTCCTAATGTCAAGGTTGTAAGTTTCAGCCTAAGTTAATTTTTTGCTTTTTGTTGCATGGACATAGATTGTGGATACAGCCTTACAAAGTAAGTGCTGTTCTTGTTAAGGGATCAGCTTGATGCAGTGTTTCTCAACCAGGACATGTTTGACCCCCAGGAGACATTTGGCAATGCTGAAGATGTTTTGGTTGTCACTTTCGGGGCTGGATTGGAACAGGGTAAGACTGGAGACAGGGAGTCCAGCTAGGAAACTGTTAACAGTAGTCTAGGTCAGAGATGTTGAAATCATGAAGTAGGGCTATGATAGTGGGAATAGAGTGATAGGGAACGTTACAAGACACATTTCAGTGTTAGAATCAATCAGAGTTGGTGGGAGGTGAGGGAAGAAACGATGTTGACACTTTGCCAGTCTTCACCTTGGGCACTTGGTGAAATGTATTTTAAGGAATAATCTTGCCCCTTTGCTTTTAGAACTTATAGTGTCTAGTAAATGTTTACCATGTTATGAGTGATTAATATTTAAAGTATTCCTGTAGTTTATTGTTAAAAATCTAATTGGATTCTGCGGTTTGTTGCCCCTTTGGAAGGAATGGGACACAATGCCGTCCATTAAAATAAACCTTGATACTAAAGACTGTACATAAAGTAGGGTGCTTAATTGATGCTTCTTAAGGTTATATTATTGTTCTTAAGTGTTCTGAGATGCTGAAATATGAATTATGAAATATAAAGCTAAGTTAAAAAATTTATAGGTCCTTTAATTTTTATTTTCATATTAAGAATATCAAAACGTTGAATTCTAGTGATGGATAATCTGGTTAAAAAAAGAAAAGTTATGACTGTATATACATCTTCCATTTGGAAATAGATTAAATATCAGAAATATTGTTAACTAGAAATTGACACCAAGTCTAGAATGAGCATATGGTTAGAATATTCATTTTTTATGAGTTCTTTTGGAAGTTAAATTTGATACACATATTAACAAATTTGAATGTCCTGTTGCTAAAATTTTGCTTTTCTCAAGAATTATGATTCTGTCTTCCTCCTGCCTTTCTAAGTCGATTTTGACTTTGTACATTTTAGGGATCCATGTTTAAAGTATTACTGTCTCGTTGGAAGTATAGGTTTCAAACAGTGTTTAACTGTTTTTTTGATAACTTTGGTGTTATTTGTGGATAAATTTTATAAATTCGGTAGTTTGTTAAAATACAGTAACAATGTTCCAATGCTGTATAAATACAAAACCGCTTAAAGGCAAGTAAAATCTTCGTTAATGGGGCTTCCCTGGTGGTGCAGTGGTTAAGAATCCGCCTGCCAGTGCAGGGGACATAGGTTCGAACCCTGGTCCGGGAAGATCCCACATGCCACGGAGCAACTAAGCCTGTGTGCCACAGCTACTAAGCCTGTGTTCTAGAGCCCTCGAGCCACAACTGCTGAGCCCACGTGCCACAACTACTGAAGCCCGCACGCCCAGAGCCTGTGCTCCGCAATGAGAAGCCCACACACTGCAACGAAGGGTAGCCCCCGCTCGTCGCAACTATAGAAAGCCCGCGTGCAGCAACGAAGACCCAACGCAGCCAAAGTTAAAAACAAATAAATTTAAAAAAAAAATCTTGGTTAGTGGAATTCAGAGATGTTTGGTCCATTTTGTTCAGTTTTCAAGACTGGAACGAGCATTTTTACAGTGGAACCATAATTTTAGAGTTAGAATGATTCTAAAAGAAATTCTGGAACTCCCTTTATTTCACAGATAACAAACGTTAGACCCAAAGTGGCCAGGTAACATTTACCAAGGTCAGCCATAGGACAGGTTAGTGGCAGAGCCAGGGCAATAGCATCATGTATCTTTTTATTCTTATAGCTGCTTTCTTCTAAGGAATCTAAACAAAGTTGAACAAAGAAGTTGTGATTTTTATTATGCAGTTGAAAACAGTAAAGTGAAAAGAGAAGGGAATCAATGAGAGTTAACTTGGTCTTTTGCAGGGAGATATGGGACTTTTTTTTTTTTTTTTTAACATTAGAAATTATTGTGATGCTTTGAAGCTTTCTTGAAAATAATTCTTAGAGTATATCTTTGGAAGAACTTAGACATACTTTTGTATTTTAGAAGTTTTAATTTCTGTTTCCAAGGAACTACTTTAAATATTTTTATGTCCAGTCACACTGGCCTTCTGTCAGTTCCTTGAACATGCCATGCTCATTTCTGTCTAGACAGATTTAGAATTATGTAGCCCATATACGTACTCTTCCTCCCAGTTCATTAAGGGAAGTCTCTTAGATTCCCTGTTAATATATTCTTTTAATTCCTTCATATCACTTATTACAGATGTGATATTACATTTATGCATATGTTTATTTGGTTTGTCTCCCCAGCTTCTCTGTAAGCTTCATGAATATAGGTATCACATCTGATTGCTTAGTTTTGTATCCTCCCAGTGCTAAGTTTAATACCTGGCACATAGGTTCTCAACATATATTCCTTGAATGAACGAATGAATTCTTTGGTTTTTTTTTTTTTTTTGGCTGTGTTGTGTCTTCTTTGCTGCTAGGGCTTTCGTGGAGCGGGGACTACTCTTCGAATACTTTGTATTAATACTGGTTTAGACAAATATTTTTATTTTTGAAGATGAAGGATAATTTGAAAATATTTTGAATTGCAGCTAAGTACTTTATCTGAGATTGCATACTAGAGATGATAACACAGATATTTAGAATTTTAGAACCAGAAGGTAGCTTAGAGTTTATTTCATTTTGTTCTAATTTTCTGGATGAAGAAACTGTCTCAGAGGTTGTGACCAACCCTAGTCACATAAAGCTGAAAACCATCATTAACAGTTTTGTTATTTAGATAAATTACAAATATATATTAATTGGCAGAAATATTAAAATTCATACAAAGGCTGTTTGCAAGGATAGCAGACATTTTAATACCAATGTTATATTAAGCATCAAGATTTCATTAAGGATTCTGAAACTAATGCAAATCATGTCTGATAAGTTTAATAAACAAGATACACCTATAAACAGTGTTATACAAAGTTCCATTAAGTGCTTCTGCCCACAGTTTGTTATACACAGTCTATCTCAGATCATGTATTACAAAGCTGTGTGCTACACACTTTTTTTTTCTTCCTTTTTTGCTATTTTGGAAGTGGGAAGCCCTTGAAAGCCTTCGTTTTTAAAGGGAGGGATTAGGATGAAGTTTGTTACTATATCCATTTCTTATTATCTGCTCTCAGAGTTCAGTGCCCCAGACAGTTCTCTAGCCACAACTCCATACCCAAACCTGCCATATTCATTCTGTCACAGAATCAAATCAAAATACTTATTACCTTGGTGCTAAGAATTAGGAAAAATTAAATAATAGGGTTTTATTGTTCTGAAAATGTCCCCCACTTTTCTCCCACTAGGTGTTACTTCTGTGTTTTCTTTGTATTTTTCTGTAATCTTTCTCTTTCTGTCAGCCATTCTCCCTCTTCCACATGCTCGTGCTTCTACTTTCTATAGTCTGGCCTGTTGGATAGTTCAGTAGGAATTGGGGTATGGTGAGCTTGATTTAGGTAGGACATCTCCCTTTTGCAATCAAACCTAGGTTGGAAGAGGGGAGGAATAGATTAGGGGCAGGAAGGCCATGAATTCTTTCATTTTTCTTCCCCTCAGGTGGACCTCAGAAATACTTGATTTGTTGTAATTATTTTCACTTGCATAAATGACTTTTATTTATCCCTAATTGCCACATAGTATGCTAATTTTGCTCATAATTCAGTATGTAATTTCAAGTCTGAATTTTGTTTATATCTTTTACTTTAATATTTGTATTAATGCAGAAGATTCTCCTAAGTAATTAAGAAGTTAAATGGAGAGGCAAGATTTC